TAAGGCATACAAGATGTATTAAACTCTCAAGTCAAGCAATTTTAAATTCCAAGTATCATGTGCCTCAAAAGATTAAAATCATAGCAAACATCAATCTCAAATCTCCATCATGTATTTAAAGATCAAAATTTTAAATAGAATGCAACAAAGTCACCTTACCCCCAAACTTAAACCGCACATTGTCCTCAATGTACAATGAGACCAATGGAAAAGATGGAAAGAGTATACCATGGTGGCAAGGACGATAAAGCCCGGTAATAATCCATTGGGATAAAGTGCACCCCCAAACTTGGAAAAAAACAACCTATTTGAATAATCACAATAGCAAACTCACATCAAATATCGAATGGGATAAATATAACTAAATCAAGCATTCTAAGGCAATATTGCACAATATGCAAGAGAGATATGAGATTAAGCCTTAAATAAAACATGAAAGTAGCATGACTACACATAAGGGTACAATGGTGAAATATTTTTTTATTTTTCTTTTTATGAAAGTATGCAAAGAAACAAAATGAAAGAAAAATAAAAAATGAAAATGAAAGTAAACATGCATTATACAAGGGATAAAAGAAACACTGTGTCTTGTGGGTGCTAAGTTTAACGTCTCTAGGAAGACGGAATGCTACTTTGAAAGATTATTTATTTGTTTATTATTATTATTATTATTATTATTATTATTATTTTATTTAGAACATAACATGTATGTACACAAACAACAATAAATTGCAAAGAAATAAAAATGTAATAAATGAAAATGCAATGAAATAAAGAATGCAAATATATATATATATTTTCTGTGATGGTCATCCAAGGCCGGGTGAATGATTGCCCAGTACCTGATACTTATACACAAAAATTATTATTATTTATTTATTTTTGCTTCGATCGATCGAAATTTTTAACAATCGATCGAGATGTTCTACGATCGATTGAAAAGCTTGTAGAATGATGCCTTGGGAACAAAAATTTCCGACGTAATTCCGATCGATCGAAATGAGTGTTGATCAATTGAGAATGTCTTCAATCGATCGAACTAGCTCTGGGCAGAAAAAAGAAAAAAAAAAAAAAAATTCTTTTTTTGGAACTTTTTGGCACATTTTTCGAAGATAATTTTTTTTTCTTATGCCTAACATGCAAGAGATATTCAATAAAGCTCAATGGAACATATGTAGACGCCGCAAGAAGTGAAAAATAAAAAGAAATTGGGAAGGAATAGAGTTGTGAAACTCTACGAATACTAGTGTTTAACGTTTCTAGCAAGACGTTGGTTCGACTCATTAGTCGAAAGTGTTAAAAACTGGATATGAAACATCCTTATTGACCATCTTTTCCATTTTCTCATTTGATGCCTCACTTACAACAATATACACATCCTCCAAAAAAATGACTTGAAAAGAAATTATGAAAGATGCAATTTGTTTCTTTTTATTCACGGCCTTGAAAATAGAGTCAATAATAAGCGGCTTTGCACTTGGTAAGGCAAAGTCTTTTAAAGACTCAATTGGATTAATAGGAATTGCACTCTCTTCATCCCTTTTCTCTTCCTCAATAATCACCATCTCCTTACCCTCTAAAATAGCCACGGAGTCCATTAGAGAGTTGACTTCATTTATGGAGCTTTCAATGTTAAAACCACAATTTTCACACATTTGGAAAAGGCACTCCTCAAAAGGGTCATTGGAGATAACAGAAGGAAGGCTCTCTTCAACAAGTTCCTCATCCTCCTCTCATACCTCTGCAGTGGTCACCGCCTCCTCACTATTTAAGGTAGCAATGGCCGGGATAAAATCATGATCAAAACAAGGAAAGTCCTCATAAGTCATATTGTGCTCTATTAGATTAGCCATTGGTGGACTCGTCAATTCCTCTTCAAATTGCTCACTTGCTATTTTTCCTTTCTCACTCTCCTCATTCTCATTTGTAAAAATTGGAGTTCTTGCCATTTGTTCATTTGCTTCTTCGTAATCCTCTTGACGAGAAAGAGTACTTGCAATTTCTTCAACTTGAGCTTCTAACTTGGCTAAAGTTTTAGTTTTTTTCTCTACGTTTGTGGTGATTTAGAGTTAGGGTTTACATGCTACGTACTGGTTGGTAGGGAAGGCTCTAATGGAGGAGGGTTCCACCTCCTCCCCCCCGTCGGTAACTGTCAGGCAAGGTTCTCTAGTTACAGTACCATCTCGCCTTTCTTGGCGAAGTTGTTTTGAAGGAAGTGAATCTAATTCTTTCATTAATTTACACTATGTGGCCCCTGCGATTGGTTCTAAGGTTTCTATTATTGAAGACGATGTTGCTAAGGAAATCGATTACTGGAAGACGTCTATTGTAGGCTACGTGATGGGTAAGCATCCTTATTACCCTCATTTTAAAGCGTTTATTGAGAAGCATTGGTCTAAGGCAGTTACGTTGGTCTATTTGAAGAATGGTTTCTTCATGGTACGTTTTCAACATTTGGCTGATCTACAGAAAGTGTTATCACGTATTCATACTTTTGAAGGTCGCGTGATTATTATCAAACAGTGGAGCAAGAATGTAACTTTGAAACGGGAGGAGTTTGACTCTTTGCTAATTTGGATTCGTGTCCATGATCTCTCAGTTCACTGTCATAATTCTAAGTCTCTTTCTAAGGTTTGTTCATTGTTCTTAAAACCTATTTACATGGATGATCCTTCATTGCACCGGGATAAAGGTCAATTTGTTCATGTCATGGTAGAGGTTGATGTTAAACAAGAATTTTTAGAGAAGTTGGTGATTGATGTTCATGGTGAGGATTGTATGGTTAATATTGAATATGAATGGAAGCCTGCTGTATGTTCTTTGTGCAAATGAGTAGATCATGTGGCAGACCGATGTCCTTAAAAAGTATTGAATAAACCTAAATCTAAAAAAACAGGTAGGGGATTGATGGGTTATGAAACAAGAAGGGAAAATGGTGGCTGTGGATGATGCCCAAAAAGTGTTTGGTAAAATGCCTATGAGATAGCCTCAATCCTCTCAAGTTGCTACTCATAATTCTTTTGCATTACATGAACAAGTCAAATAAGTTGAGGAAATAGAGCCTACCACAAAAGTTGGAATTACTCAAGGTGAGGAAAAAGGGAAGGTAATTCAAGTTACTGACTCACTTGAGAAATTGGATGCTAATACTGCGGAGGCTGAGGCTGATGTAATAGTTGAAGTTATTATGGAGGTAGCTGAATCTATTATTAAGGAAGCTGCTGACCTGGTAGTGAGTGGTAATATAGAAGTGGAACCAGTTTTTGTAAGCATAGAACTGGACAAAGTGGTGATTGATATGGTTAATTCGACTGCTGCCTGTGTTATTGAGAACATCTCTAATTTGGGAGATGCTACTCCTCATAAATCCTTAAGCAGTGATAGTGTTTTTAAGATAGATGGGGTAAAAAATAAATATATTGAGCTGTGACTGTCTCTGATAGGGTCACTAGAAGTAAAGGAGGGGTTTCTGCCCCAACCTCGACTTCTCAATGATTGGATTTTGGAATGTGAGGGGCTTGACTAAGCCCAGAAGGTAACGGGAGGTAAATAATTGGATTGCTAAGGAGGCCTCTCAGTTTGTCTGTCTTATTGAAACCAAGGTGAGAAAGGATGCTTTTAATTCCATTACTAGAAGGCTGAGAGCCAACTGGGAGTGGATCCATAACTATGATGTACACGATTTTGGTAGGATTTGGGTTAGTAGGAACCCTCTTCTATTCTTTGTTCAAGTGATTAATGTGAGAATTCAATTTATGCTTCTTAGGGTAAGGGCTATTGAGACTGGTGAAGAGTTCTTTTGTACACCTGTTTATGCTTTAAATTTGGCTATAGATAGAAAAAATCTTTAGGATTCTATAAGGCATTATTCTAGTATAGTCACTGGTCCTTGGATGGCTATGGGGGATTAGAATGCCATTAGATTCTTTAGTGACAAAAAGGGTGGGAGAAAAGTTCCACAGAGACTTTTAAATGAGTTCAATGACTGTTTACATTATACAAGTCTTAGTGAAGTTCATCCCAGTCTTGGTGTAATAGACGACATTTTTTCAAGAGAATCTATGTTAAGTTGGATAGGGTCTTCTTGAATGAGGACTGGTTAGATAAAATTCTAGGTACCAAGGTTTTATACACAGCTGCAGCTTGTTCAGACCATTATGGAATGTCTATACATATTTCCAAGCAATTTGCATAAGGTCATAAGCCTTTTAACTTACTAAAGGTATGGCATTTGCAGGGAAGTATCCATCTTGTTGTGTAGAAAGCTTGGGATACTGTGGTGAGTAATAGTCTAATTCATATTCTTTTACAAAACCTGAGGTTACTAAAGAAAGCCATCAACGAGTGGAATAAGAATTGTTTTGATGATGTGGGGGAAAAATCTTATTAAGGCCAAAAAACATCTTGAACATTCTCAATTGGCCCCCTTAAGTGATCCTACTGATATTAATCTCCAAATAAAGCAAGAAGCTAGAATTGATTATCAGGTTGCTGTTGTAGATCAAGAGGTTTTGGTTGCCTAGAAATCTAGGATTCTTTGGGTGAAAGACACTGATAGATGCATAGGTTATTTCTACAACAAAATAAAGCAACACAGAAATTTCAATGCAATTAATTTGGTGGAAACACTTTATTTTGAAAGAGGAATGAATCTTTGCCAGAGTTAATTTCTCCTGTTAAAACACTGAAGATTGAAGAGATTATTGCCTTTGATAGTTTGGTGACTGAAGAAGAGATTAAAGGAGTTGCCATGGGTTTTAACCCCGATAAATCTCTTGGGCCTGATGGTTTTCCAGCTCGGTTCTATCAAACTTTTTGGTCCATTGTGGGTAAAGATGTTGTTGCTGCAGTTCAGTCCTTTTTTCAGCATTAGTGTTATGCCTTTGGGTGTGAGCAGTTGTTTCCTTACTTTACTCCCCAAGGTAGGAAATGCTAAGAAACTCGGAGAATTCAGACCTATTGCTTTATGCAATTTGATATATAAGGTTATAACTAAAATTATGGCCAATAGACTGTCTTTGGTGTTGACCTTTTTGGTTGGTCCTGAACAGAGTGCTTTTGTGAAGGGTAGAAGAATTCAAGATGCTCTAATTCTGGCTCATGAAATGGTTAAGGATTTTAAAGGATCTCAACATGCTTCTATGGCTCTTAAGGTAGATATTAAAAAGGCCTATGATTCTGTGTCATGGGAATTTTTATTAAAGATTCTCAAGGGGTATGGGTTTAGTGATGTGAGGCTTACTTGGATTACCAATATTCTTACCTCCACTAGGTATTCTGTTTTGATTAATGGCTCACCTCATGGATTCATTCAACCAGGTAGGGGTTTAAGGTAAGGTTGCCCCTTGTCTCATTTGCTGTTTACTCTAATCACTGAACACCTATCTTATGTTATTAATGCTGCTATTCAGAGGAATGAGTTGTATGTTACTCATAATGCTACTAAAGTTCATCCTATTCTAAGACATGTTTTCTTTGCTGATGATTTATTGATTGCCTATAAGGCTTCTGTTTCCAATGCTAAAACACTTGATGGTTTGTTTAAGAAATTTGAGACACTCACTGGTCTATAAGTCAGCCAACAGAAGAGTAATGTCATATTCACTAGAGTGGTGAGGAGAAAACAATCTATTCTGAGAAGCTTTGAAGATTATATTTGGGACTGCCTCTATGTTCATCTGGTTTTAAGAGAGCTAACTGTCAGGGATTAGTTGATAAAGTTGGCAATAGGATTAATTACTGGTGTACAAAGCTCCTTTCTGTTGCTGGCAAGGTGGAGTTGATTCGATCCACAGTTTTTTTTATTTTTCTGTATTGGTGTAGTGTTTATAATGTTCTTGTCTCTATGGTTAATCAGTTGCAGAAAATGTGTAGAAACTTCTTGTAGGGTAGCACTGATCACTCAAAGAAACTTCACCTTATGAGTTGGGACTTGATTACTAGAACTAAGGGTGAAGGAGGTTTTGGTCTCAGGAAACTTGTGGATATTCAATCTGCTTCTAAAGTTGTTTTAGCTTCTTGACAAGTAAAGATAGGCTGTGGGTCTCCTGGTTTAAAAACAAATACACCCCTTTTTCAACTTATTGGACTGCTATTCCTAAAGCCACTTGGTTGCGTGTGTCGTGGCACCCCAAATTGCAATATAAAATATGGCCAAGTTAAAATTTATATAGTGCCACTACTACCAATAACTACTAATATACCTAAGGTGAGTAGGGATCGTCCCAAGGGATTGATCAAAATGTGGTTTGTTTGGTTAATTAAACTATAATGCAATTAAAATTAACGCAAGCAAAAGGAAATAATTTAGAAAGTAGGGAAAAGATATAGAGGAGAGGACTTGGGGATTTAGAGCTCACCACTAAGCTTGACTTCACTAAACACTAGTAATTATACATCAATGGGGAAATTGAATTGCAACTTGTGTGTGTGTGTGTGACATTAATTGAAAATAAGCATGGATGGTAAATAAGTATAGATTGTCTAGCCAATTTAAATAGAAAGCACAACCTGTCAAATGAAACCAAAATCCATTCAATGAAACCATAATTTATACACACACAACTATCTAAAGACATACACCCTTTGCATTCATAAGTATGGAACACCAAGGAACAAGAATAGATTGTCCACCTATTTAGGAATTTAAAGCAACTACACAACATCTAAACTAAAGACATGAAAATTAAACTAATTAAGCTAAAGGTGTGGCACAATCTATCAAGAAACAAGTGTGAACCATCAAATAAATTACAAGAGTGTTCAATTAAGTACTATGTTTTGATCATCACTCGATTAACTTTATCAATACACTTAGACATGCATAAATTCCATTAAATCTAGAGAAAAGCACATGAATCATCCATTCTAGCATACATAGACATATGGTTAGAAATAGATAATCAATTGAAGGCATTAACCCATACATATCAAGTAGAAACCACAAGATATATATATATAAATCTAAGATCAAAACATTTATTACAATTAAATCCCCAAAAATGTACAAAAGACTAGGTCTAGGAAGCAAACTTAGGGGCTAACTCTAGCCCCAAGTAGATGTTTAGCCACTCATTGAAGTAATCATCCAACACTCAAGGGCTATCTCCATAGTAGGAATGATCTCTTTCTTGATGGAAACCCTAGATGAATGGAAGAACTCCCAAATGGTGTTTAGCTCTCTAATCTTTAGCCTCCTCTCCAAGATTTCTAAGATTGTGTATGATTCTCTATGATTGTATTGTGTATTATGGCTTAAAATCTTTATATAGGTAGCTCAAGTGTCACACCCAATGGTCAGGTCTCGTGCACTAGGGCTCCGGTAATACCCCTAATTTTCAAAAGGATAGTCTCGGTATTTTGATTAATTATTTTCTTTCCATTAATTGTTTTATTTAATGTTTTAATTGGTTTAATTGTAATTAGTTGTTTGGTTGATCTATTTATTGACTTTAATTATTTAATTGTTTTACTTAGTTTAATTTTATTTGCTTAATTGTGTTCTTTAATTCTTTGTTTAATTATTTAATTGTTTTACTTAGTTTAATTTTATTTGCTTAATTGTGTTATTTAATTCTTTGTTAATTGTTTTATTTAGTTTTTGGTTAATTGGTAATTAAAATAGATTAAAGTTACTTGTTTTTCTAAATTCACGTTACTGTAGGATTGGTGGTAAGTAGCAGACATGCTTTTTCACTTAGATGGTGTTATGGGCCGAATAGGTTTCACATTAGGGCTTCAATGAGCTTTAGGTTATGTGTAACCTTATAAATAGACGTAATAAGGCTACCTAGGGTTTTACATACAACCAAATAAAAAAAACACAAAGAAAAGAAAACCAACACACGTCTGTGGAAGTAGCAGAGAGAGAAACAGAGGAGGTTTACAACAATTGTGTTTGTCGAAGGTCTTAGAAGACGGCGTAGAGATTTTGAACAAAGATCTCAAAGGCAACTTCTATCCTTACTCTCTCCCTTAGGATTCGTGTTCTTTGCATTCCTAAACTGTTCCAGGATTAATTGTAACTTAAAAAGTTTCTCTGTTCGTGCTAAAGTTTGATACACACCAGTATGTGTTGCATGGTTGTTAAACTGTTAAAACTTGATAGTTGTATGCATAATTCTTGATGTAAATTCATGATTAATAATGGTATAAGGACTTAAACATGGACTGGGAACATACTAGGGTTAGGTTACAGGATTTGGAAGTCATAACAATGAGGTGTAGAGGCTGCAGAGTTCATCGGAGGAGGGAACGACGAAGCTGAGAGGGAGGGAGCCGGCTCCCCTTAGTGTGGAGGTGGCTCTAAGGAATTGGAGCCAGCACCAAGGTTTAAAGGAGGTGGCTCCAATTTTTGGAGACATTTCCTTGCTCAGTTTTTGTAATTTCTTCGTTTCCAGTCAGTTTTGCATGCAATGGTTGATTTTGGAGTTTTCAATTGAGTGCAGAATTGAATATGGAAGGTCTAAGTAATGTATAGAGATAAATTAAAGCTTCAGAGGTGGTGTTAACTAAGTCTACTTAAGTAGAAAAGTTTGGACAATAGGGTTTTAAACAAGTAGTTCCATAGTGTTAAATTCTGTGAGTACACTGTGTTTAATTCTGAAATCTTTTGAGACGAATGATATAATTGGAACATGTATAATTCTATATCATGAGTATGTATCTGAATTACACTTGTTTAGAATATGGTAGTGTTGAAGAATAATAATTCTTAAATTAACACTAATGGGATTTTGTAAAACAACCTAAACTAAGTAGGTATATGTACCTACTGGGGTTCTGTCTTAATGCTTGCATTAATACTATTAGTATCAACTATTAGAGGAATGGACATTAGTATCAACTATTAGTATCAACTATTAGAGGAATGGACATTGTTAATGGTTATCTTAAATGTCTGTAATATCAATTGTTGAGTATTGAATGATAATTTAAAATGATCTTATCATTATATCTGATTGAATGAAACAACTTAAACTGAGTAAGTTTGTGTATATACAGTGACTATGATTCTTAATGCTTACATTATGTCTGTTAGTATCAGTGTTGGATATAAAACTGAATCTGTTTATGTATATATCTGATTCTTTTTATTAATGCTTACACTATGCCTGTTAGTATCAGTAATAGAAATATGGATTTAGCTGATGTTTACTTTAATTGTTGATATTATCAACTGTTGGATGGTTGGATAGTATACACCGGTATAGGACGATGGTATGCTCGGGATTGTTTGGTTTCAAAATACCAAAACCTACCTACTCTAGATTAAGAATTGGATTAACTAAAAGTTAAATCCTATTAATTGTAGTGTCATGGCAACGACTAGTTAAGCGGCACTACTAGGATTCGGGATGGACTTTAAATATATTGTTATGGTACCTCGATATGAGCTTGAGTCTCAGGATCGACGGTTAGGGAGCGTATATGCATTGTGATGCATAGCTGGATACGATGGTTAGAGGTGTACCCTGTTTAGGTATAGGTACATATGCCCACTTTGTGTACGTTTTAGCATGTTACCTCTATTCAGGTTGAGACCGGCCTGTAGTCCAGTGAGAGTCCTTTAGTGTGACTATATATATATTTATAGACTATTAGCTATTGTTGAATTGTTTAGGATGTACATGCGTATCGGGCCTCTCCATAGTTTATTTCTGGATGTTTATTATAGTTGTTTTATTTTTCATTTGGATGTTTAATAGAGGTCCACTAGAGATGGATTCCCGAGTTGTAAACTGATGGAGTTTTGGAGTTTGGGTTTGATGGATTTTAATAATTATAATATTTTGCGGATTCTATTTTTAGTTCCTTTCAGCTTTAATTTCATTTCTTAATTCATTTTGTATTCCGTGTTCATTATAAAATATTAATTGTTAGATATTCCCTCGGGTTTGGGCCTGGGCTTGATCAACCCTTGTCTCGGATCCGAGGGGTGTCATAGTTGGTATCAGAGCACTCCAGGTTCAAGTGTCTCTAGGATGTTTCGTATTAAGTCTTTCGCGTAGCGTTCTCTTGATTAGAGCTTAAGTTAGGATTCGTTGTATTCCTTACGATTCGTATAAAAATGGTACTGATGTCTGTCTTTTCATGTTAACAGATGGTTAATGCTAGAAATGGACAGAATATGCAAGGAACTATGAAGGAAAGGAGAGCGGCACGTAGGCAACAATATCTCCTACAGCTTCAGCAAATGGAGGAAGAGCAACAAAGGCTTGGGTTTCAAGATGACATAGGTCAGTTTCAGGAGGAACAGGAGAATGTTCAGCAGACTCTGGACCAGGTCAAAAATCCAGAGATTGCTCCTCACCTCAATGACCTCGTTGCTCGGGCTATAGAAGCTGGGGTAACAGCTGCACTTCAGAATCAGCCTCAGGTACAGCCGGCACCGCTACCAGCATCGGTTGTTCAGATGGATTCTTGGGAAAAGGCTAGGAGCTCTTTCACAAAGGGGAGCCCACCTGAGTTCACAGGCTCCACCGATGCGAGAGCAGCTCGCCAGTGGAAATAGGACATCGAGTGACATCTTCGCTTGGTTTAGTGTACGGAGGTTCAGAAGCAGATGTTTGCTACCTTCAAGCTAGTCAGGGATGCACTACAATGGTGGGAGTCAGTTACCACCGCAGAGGAGAGGATGGCATTGACTTACGATCAGTTCAATGCACGCTTTGATGAAAAGTACCTTCCTTATGCAGTCAGGGCAGCTATGAAGACTGAGTTTCTAAATCTACAGCAGGAGAATATGACAGTGGCGGAGTATGAGCAGCAGTTCACATGCTTGTCTCTCTTTGCACCAGAGGAGGTGGATATAGAAGAGAAGAAGCGCAACAGTTTTGTCAAGGGATTGATGTGGTCTATCAAAAGAGCTATTACAGGTAGTCTAGCCTATACTACCTATGCTCAGGTGATAGATGCCGCTCTACAGCAGTATCAGTTGACCGTGGACATCAGACAGGCCAAGGGTAAGAAGCGGGGTGACAGAGACTCTGCTAACCAGTCAGCTGAAAAAAGGAATGGGAA